AACATTTTATTTTCCTATTCAACCTTCTGCAAGTTGCTTCCATTGCTGCTAGTGTTGAAGCTCTTAGAGAAGATAAGTTTCTCCCCAGCATCATTTTAAGCTAGCTTAAATAATGGATCTTGGTTAAAGTATAGCACATGGCAGCATTAGGAGCAGGAGAAAATTTAGGTCTTCAACTATTTTTGCTGTTATCTGCCACCTTCTCTGGCAATCTATGCAGAGGTAAGCTAGTTCCAGGAATTCCTCCAGAGGAAGATAGAAATAGGTAGACATGAGCTAAAATATTCAAGACATGCGCTCCCGAAAATCCTAGAGCATTTAAAATTATAGTGAATGTGGAGTTTTAAGGGATGCAGCAGTCTCTGATGGAACCCCATACATATTGACAGAGCTACTATGCAGAGATCCCCAAATGCCCTTGATTGCCAGGTCTTTGTTGTATAAAAAGTCACAGATGTGCCATCTTCACAAAGCAACTTGTTTTATCTGTGATTGAACTGTGATATGCTTATGATTTACCAAATTTACCCAAATACAAGATGACCCTGAATGTAAAATGACCCTCCAATTATTAGATATTACATGTGGAAAATTTATCAAATCCAACTATTGGATGACCATCTTAAATTCACCCCTTGTTCCACAACTGCAGATGGTGAAAGAGAGGTGATGAGGGGGGCAGTAATGGGGCAGGTGGTGGGGGACATGGTGGATAGGCAGTAATGGGGCAATAAAGTGTGTGGAGGTGGTGGAGCAGGCAGTAAGAGGCAGGCAGCTTGGCTCCTGCTGCCTGCCCCCCCCCCCCCTACCTTCTATAAGCCATATCCAGATGTGCAGGCACATGCAGTTTGTGTCTCTGCAAACCTCTTTTAAAAGGTTTAAAACATTAAAATATGTGCTCTGTGCTGCAAATTTGTAGTGTGGGGGCAAAATTTGCTCCCGGGAAATCCTGGTAACAAAAAAAAATACAAAAAAAAGTGATGCAATGCAGCACGTCACAGGAATGTGTGCCAGCAGACATAGAGGCTCAGCCCTCCAGGGAGACACTCTGGCTGCTGGCCAGAGTATCTCCCCTCCTTTAGTTCTGCCCCAGCTCCTCCAGCAAGCCGGGAGCTGGGAGAAGTGGGGAAAGGGCAGTTTGCCTGAAGGAAGGCATTTTTCCCTGCACCAAAGTGCACATGCGAGGTGTGCTTAGTGGCAAAAAGTAGCAAATTTTGCTACTGCAAGTACACACCCCTTCATGTGAGGACATGCCCATAGTGCTGTCCTCTTCCGCCCAGCAGCCTCAGACTGCCCGATTTCTACCCCTACCCCCTCATGCTCAGTTGTAAGGTGAGGGGCTTATTTCATCATGTTAAATGGGGGAAAAAACTCATCTACTAATTGAATAAATATGGTAACCCAGAATTCAAACTCTAGTCCTGTAGAGAGCTCATAAAGCAATGTAGAAAGCCATCTAACCATTATATTTTTGTATAGAGATGTTATATTAGAATAACCCATGATTTGTCTTTCAAAAATATGATGATTTGTCTTGCAAAAATATCATGGATGAAAGCAGGAATTTAAGGGTGGAGTGATCAGTGGCACTGAAACCAGAAGGAAGTTGTTACAGAAAGTGGCAGGAAAGAAGCAAAAGGCAATCACCAACTGGGAAAAGTTGGAGAAATTAACAAGAATAATCCTCTACTAAAAGACTGGAGTCAGTGATGTAAGGAAGGCAGAAAGACCATTGTCTACTAAGATCAGAACTATAGGGTGAGGAAATGTTCACAACAGTAGAAATTGATATTGATAAATGTATACATAATAGCTACTACCATGTCTTCCTTTTCAGTTAACACATTTTTGCAGCTTATTGCTTTTTCCACCCACAACACCTGGGTTCCCTTTATGTATTTTATGTTTTTGGAGATTCAGGTGATGAGCAAGCAGCATTACACAGTGTTGATGGAAAGCAGAGCAGTTGTTGTGCTTGTAGAAGAATGAATAAAAAATATTTTCTCTTGAGACAAATTGATCTTATAGACTGTTCTTTCTCTTCTGCAGTAGCACTGCCTTACATATTTTTCTGTAAATGTTAAGTATAAGTGGAAAAAATATCTTTAAGTATGGCAGTTAGTAGATATATAACCCTCTTGTCATATGCTAGCAAAAGTCTAGTCTATATTATTCTCCGTGCTACTCATTTTTTCAATCTCACTTTTAACAAAGAAATTTTACTTCTCTTTCTCTAAAACTGCAATGGGTTTGGAGTTTTGGGGAGGGGGTGTTTTGGGGGTTGTGGTTTTTTTGTTTGTTTTGGCAGGGCCAGGGGGTTTGCTTTTTTGCTTTTTGTCCCTTTCTGGAATAGATGTAAATTTCCAACAAGTTTCCAAAGTGAAACTGAAGTCACAGTGCCTTGCAAAGGAGTGCTTTATTAATTTGCCTTCAAAATAGATTAAGTTACTTTGTTTAAATTACACAGTTTATTCTAACCACATTAAGGTTTATGGACCTGTCAGTATTATTGTGAGATTGAAATTGTGGGAACAATTCACTAGAGAACTGCCCATTCGAAAGGTGCATGGAACTGTGTAGAGAAGGAAATCGGCAAATACACAAAGCTGAAGGCTGCCGACTTCCTCTGCAAGACAAGGTGTTTTGGAGACAGTGTCTTGTATACCTAGCTAAAAGGTATACACCATCTATCAAATAAGCAAAGCTCAAATGACCCTTACAAAACAGCTTAATGAAAATAAAACTTGGGTAATAGAGATTGTATTGCGTCTGGTACTCAAACATGTATAGTGTTTTAAAATGTATGATGGGAATGCATATGTAGACCTGAGAGTGCATTTTACAATTAGCTCTTTGTATTTATATAGTCTTTACATCTTTAAAACTTTCTAGCAATAAGGTCTGTTTAAGCCTTACAGTTTCCCTTTGCAAGACTGAAGTAGAAGGACCCCTTTAGGAACAAGCATGGGTCCAGCAAAAAATTAGGAGAGCAGAATCATCCTCAAGTGCTTTGTTGGTTATCTTACCAGGATTGTAGCTGCCTGTGATCAGTTAAATATTGGAATGGCTACTTGTATGCACAAAAAGACCATTGCTTATTATTGTAATGACTGCACATCTTTCTGTCTGTATGTGGAATACAAGTTCTACAGTTATAATTTTGGTTCTTGGAAACTAAGAGCTTGCCTGTGTTGCAGACAAAGTGTAATGTAGAGATACCCAGGCCAGCTCTAAACCAGTGGTTTTCAACCTTTTTAGAATCAAGACACCCCTTAGAAAATTCCAGTTCTTATTTTTCTGTAGTCAAAAAAACAAGTGAAAACTAATAAAGCAATTATTCAATTGCAGAGAAGTCAGTAGGACCCCACAACAGGTCAGAATGTTTTCAACACTAAGGATTCCTACTTAAATCTCTGGATTTTATTTTGTGAATCATGTTCGCATACCTAACAGAACTAACATTGCATGGCACACGTAAAAGGATCTCAGGGCACCCCAAACTGCTTTAACACCCCGGTTGAGAATCACTATTATAAATGATAACCACTACAAGCTGTGCTGCCACAACTATGTTGCCTCCATTACCCAAGTAAAGTCATTTAAAGCCAGCTCCAATATCTTCCTGCTATGCCATTGACTACAGTGTAGACTTGTGGTTTGCCAAAAGCCATTCAGCAAACTGGCTCAGAGCCGATCTATGCTGCTGCTCCCGTGCAAATAATGGACCATTACACTGCCTTTAGCTGCCGCAGAGGGGAAGTGAATTACAAGACTGTTAACTGATTATTAATAATCTCAGGACAATTTTCCTAAGAATAATGGTGTTAATACAGGTTTCATGGCCAAATTCCAGTTTGGTTAATTGCATGGTATCTGTCTAAGCTCACTCCTCCTCTAACCTTTTGTTTCTTAACTCCTTGTCATAAACTCCCGTGTGCTATTGAACAACTGCCTTATTTTACCCCAGAGGTAGTTGCATTTCATACTTGAATCATGCTAATTTAGCAATCTCACAGGTTGTTGAAAAGCTTTGTAATGGTTTGAAAATATAAAATGCTATTAGTTTCATTTATAGTTGAAAAACATGTTTTTAATCAGTGTACAGAATTTGTTACTTGATTGGATTGGTCTGTAGCCTAACTGAGAAATAAAGATTTTATCTGATTGTTGTTGCCCTGATTGTTGGACTCTCTTTTCAGGTTTAATGGGAAGCTCTTCAAATGTTTTGTTTTAGCTAACTGAGATGGTTTTAATTTAAAATGTTGGAATAAAACCCATATTCTGTGATTTATTTCCTGGACCCTAATTTTCTCTCCATCTCAATTTTAGGAACTAGTCAGCTCATTGGGCCTTCAAAGGGGCTGCTGAAAAGTTAGCCTGCAGGATGAACTCAAGAAGTAGATTTGTGAGAAATCTTGATCTTGAGGCAGGGGCTCCAATATTAGTTAATATGGTGCTAAGCGGAAGTGTCTTGCTTCAGTACATTGAAAAGCTGTATGTTTTTCTTTGGTGCATTGTCTTTCTCGGCTCCTAGATGCAGAGACTAGAAGCTGACTACCATGTTTTCTATGCCAAAACCATTTATTTCAGCTGCTCTAACATGCCTACTCTGACATTAGGTACAGAGGGAAGAGTTTCATGTTTCTCAGCTCTCTTAAAGTAGCCACAACCTGAAAGGCTATCTAAAATAATACGAAATGCTGTCTTTTTTGTAATTTTAAGTGTCATTATATTACCAGTAAAAATATCTTTGAAGCAGATCAAGCTGTGCCCATATGTTAAGAGACTGATTTTAATTTGTTTTTGAATGGTTATGTGTCTTTGAATTTTATTAATACAAATTCCATTTGAAAAGTATAATTTCTGCCTTGCAATTTTTCGTGTGTAACCTAGTGGCTGTATTCTTGGTTGTGCTTTATAACCTGATTTGTTAGGCTGTTACTGAACACTTACATTTCTCTGGTGAAAATAATTTTTACTTTTATGACTTCCCCATCTAGCTGACCTGAACAATGTCAGATTCTCGGCTTATAGAACTGCCATGAAACTCCGAAGACTGCAGAAAGCCCTCTGCTGTAAGTATATGCCTATATACTTATGCTTCTTTATAGTCCCTTTTCCCAAAAGGGGCAAGCTTAACAACTTTTAGAAGCAGCAAATATCTCAGGAACAGATGTCTATCCAATGTCTGGTGACTTTGAACCAGCAGTTTTGCACTGCTGTTACAGTGACAAGAAACTGTGCGAGCCCACTTCAGCCTAAGTTAAGACAAAACAATGAGCAAGACCTTAACTTTGCAATTCCTAAATATGTATAGTTTTAAAGTTTAATTTCTGAGATGGTTGTGTTTCTGCTGTCTCTCACATTTCAGCTTAGGATCTGTGTTCACATGTTCTCTGGAACTGTGTCAAACCTCAGTATTTTAAGCATATCCCCTAGTGGGGCTAAAGGGTTGGGTGAATTAAAGGGAGTGGCTTCACTAATGAACAGAGTTAATCCTTGAAATCTGTATGTTGATAAATATTTTGAACAGAAAATGAAAATCCTTGCAGCATCATGAAAGATGCAAGAAAAATTACCAAATCCACAAAAGCACAAACAGTATTTCTTAGTGCTGTGCTGATCTTCCAATCTGGCTAATGAATTAAACTCAGATCATTTTTGTTATTTTGCCAAAGAGAATGAAGTGATATGGAAGTAATTTTGAAATATAAAAATCTGGAAATCTGAGATGTTAAAAATACCTATTCTTAACAAAATCCCGTACTCCCCATCATCCAACAAGTACATTATAGCAATATATCGTTTTCATCTTTGTCTCTCTCTTTTTAAATACGCTGGTTTTTAAGTGGAATATTGCTTCTAAGATTGTAAACATCAACCACAGTATGTTCCAGTAAGTTGCTTCTGGCCATAAATATACTATGTTTCTCGTTTAGAAATATACAAATGTATTTAATCTTTCATATAGTTTCCATAGAGTATAGGGTTTTTTTAAGATTATATTTTTCACCAATAGTATATTTTATAGAAGGTTTGAGAGTTGATGAGCACTATATGCTTGTGAGCCTTTCCAGTTTAAGTGGCAGTCTATCCTGGTTTTCCATAGAATAAATAGAATGGAACTGTGTGAAAGTAAAGTGTTTGCTTTCCTCTGGAAGACTGACTGACTGAAATATTTCAGTTCCTGTATTGCAGGGTTTTCAGGCCATTTGAACTATGTAGGTATAAGTCAGATTTTATGTCTGAAAATATGGGTGCTAAAATGTTTTGGGCCTGTTTCTGATCTTTTATTTTTTTCTCTGTTTCACACTTATTAACTCTGAAGACTTCATACTATCCTTGTGTGATCTAAGGGCCTAAATAGGCTCTTGGATTTTACAAATGTGAAATATCCAAAGTAAAATCCTGGCCTCATTGAAGCCAGTGGATTTTACTTCTGGTGTTTTATAAAAGTATTTTGTGTTTCATTACAGTTTGTTTAAAATAGTTGAGAAAAATAAATGATGATTTCATCCCATCAAAGTTTACAGCCTCCATAATTTTATTAATTCACCATTTGTTAGACTAGGTATTGCAGGGCAGCTGTTTATTAAAGAAAACATTGAAGACTGCCAGACTTTGTCATTATACTGTTATGCCACCGCTTCTCTCTCAAATTATCTTAAGGGCTAAGTACAGGCATTCAAAAAGCCGGAGCCTAAATTTATTAAATCTTTGCAGGTGTGTCTAACCGGCATAGTTTGAACTGATTTGCAAGTGAATAGATATTCACTTTTGATTCCAGAAATGGAAGCCACACGCCTGCAGTGGCTCAGGCTAGAAGCTGGGTGACACTAGAGCCCTCTCTTCTCTTCAGTACCAGCCGCAAAGCTGCAGGGAAGCTGACCAGAGGATGCGGGGGGTGTGACCAGGCCCTGGCAGGCCGCTGAGTATGATTGGGGAGAGGTTTAAACCCCCACCCTGGGAGTGTGCCTGGAGGGGGAAGGGGGAAGCAGCCCTTACCAGAACTGTCCCGGGAGGGAGGGGGTTGGGGAATAGCCAGACACTGGCCAGGGCAGTGACTCAGGCAAAGTGGGGTAAGGAGGGGGATTAAACTGCCCTGTCTCCCCTCTCTCACAGACATGGGGACCCCAGCCAGGGGTCCTCTCCCTGCCCCCCCCTTCACCTGATGCTGCCTAGGTGGGCTTTGGTTATGCCTGTCACCGCTAGAGCAGCATGCAGGGGGGTAAGCTGGGCAGACCTGGGCTGGGGTCCTGTGCGGCTGGAAGAAGGGAGACAGAGGCTTTAATCCACCTCCCTCCTCCGGAGCCTGCTGGCCCACACCCCCTGCCCCCTTCCCTCCAGCGGGGTGAAGTCTGGCAGAGTCTACACTGTCTCCATTAGGCAGACTGGGCTACACCAGCCAGATTTCCCACCCCCGCCCCCTGGAGGATTGTGATTTAACTTGAACCAGGAAGGGGCCTGGGACAGACGTTTCATAAACTGGCTTGACCTAAATCAGTTATGTCTGATACTACATTCAACTAGGTTTATCTTTAACCAGTTTCAGCCATTTTTAAACCAGTTAATGTGCACTGAACTACTGTTTTATTACAGTTTTAAACCAGTTTCTGATCACTTAAAACCAGTTTGTGTGTAACTTCTGTTATAGATTCATAGATTCTAGGGTCAGAAGGGACCTCCGTGGGCCATCTAGTCCAACACCCTGCCCCTGGCAGGCAAGAAAAGGGTCACCAAACCTGGGATCATGTGACCCCAGCCAGGTGCTTGTCCAGTCTCCTCTTGAAGACCCCCAAGGATGGGGCAAGCACCACCTCCCTTGGGAGCCTGTTCCAGATCCTGGCAACCCTGACCGTGAAGAACTTTTTTCTAATGTCCAGTCTAAACTTTCTCTCCAGTACCTTATGGCTGTTGTTCCAGGGGGTGCCCTGGTAAATAGATCGTTGCCTACTTCATGTTGCTCTCCCCTTATGAATTTGTGTGCCGCCACAAGGTCCCCTCTTAACCTTCTCTTGGAGAGACTGAAGAGTTTCCTAGCCAAGAAGTTTTTTTTTAATGGGTTTTCTTTAAGAACTCACTTTAAAGCAAAAATTTTTGGAGAGCCAACACTTTAATAAACATTTATTGACACCTGCACTAAATACCTAAGCACATTCTTCACACTTTATCCAAAGGGGGATGTTGGAGGTGTTTTCTTAACAAAACTTGTTCTTCCAAAACATTTTAAATAGGGAACAGGAAGACAAATTACATTGTTGTATTCTATGATTTCACCATTTTCTTTAACATGTTTTAATTGTGTAACAAAATTGTTACTGAGTTTATTATGGTTTCTTTCATGGGCACCAATAGAAATTTAACAGTTTTAGATCCCAGTGCCTGTATGTATAAACAAGAAGGTCAAATTTCCAAATGAAGTGGTTGTTTCTGTTGCCATCCTTTTCCCTTCATCTTTGAAACTGGGAGAAGGAAAAAATCCTAGAATTTTTCCCATCGCTGCAACCCCTGCAAATGCAATACATGTTTGTCTTTTGAAGACTTCCCCCCTAAAGTTAATGATGGTTAAATTGTAGAAAGCCTTTACAATTGGAGGTATGGCCTATTTCTTAGTAGCAAAATAAAAATGCTTTTTACTTAAGAAGCTATATTTAAAAAGGGTAATAGTTTGTGCTTTATACAATTTTGAGTAGCTAAATATACAAATTAACGTAATATATATAATATATAAAAATATATACATTTATCTAAAAAGCTATATCAGGTCTAAAGAGAAATATGGGAAAAAATTATAAGAAAATGAGGAAAAATGGGTGGTTGTACTCCCCATACCAACCTCCTCCTTGGTGGGGAGCAACCCAGAAAGAATTGAACTTAGCCAAAAGCAGTGTCAGAAAAAGCACAAAAAGAAATCCCCCAAAGCAGAGTTCAGTGTCACACCAGCTCAAGTCTGTGGTTAGATAAACATGTATCAGGGACTTCAAAACAGAAGCAAAGTTGATATATAAAAAACATGGCTAAAGGCTTTTAGGAGGCTGCTGCTTATTAGCGTGAAAAGCCTTAACAAAACAGAATGACCCATGTTTATCTGTAGCCGCATGTATAATTAAGCTGCCACCCAGATGCTTGAGGGGTGCACTTAATTACCATTGATTCATTGTCTCAGAGGAACTGAGTGTTCAGGCTAATGCTGGGAGTTAAAGGTGTTGTGATTGCTGTGCTGCATTTCCAATCTGGCTAATAAATTATTAGAAAAAAGCATCGTTCTGTGGTTCTTAGGTATGAGGCTGATAAACAGGCTGTTGTTGGGCAAGGTACAGATCTAGGAATGATTGCACTCTTGGATGTCAATAAATTAGGTAAAGTTTCCAAAACAAAAAGCCTTATTTAAAGAAAATACTAATTAAAAATAGCAATGCAAATTATTCTGTGTTCAATCACATTGTATAATATTAAGGATATCACAATGAGCTTTCCGTGTTTATTTAAGCACTGGATACCTCAGGGACATAGAATAAGATTTTCGAAAATGCTTAAGGGATTTAGTTGAACAAGTACCATTGATTTTCCTTGAGACTTGTTCTCAGAAATTCCTTAACCACTTCCAAAAATCTCAGCTATGCTGTATAACATGTTGCCATATTATCTCATGCCTGCATACAAGAGTTTAAAGAAACTATTTCTTATCCCATTGGGACATCAAGGGCTAGCTTCTCTCTTGGTGTAATTCTAAGGTTCATTGGAGTAAATTTGACCCATCTGACCTTAAGTCATCGCTTCACTTTTCAGAGTTACAAAAACCTTCTGTATAGATTCCAAAGTATCTACATTCAGCCAATATACATTGGTTAACATTACAAAGAGATGCCGCTTGTCAGGATTCATTAAAAATCTGTTGTTGTTAATTTTATTTTATTATAAAGAGAGAAGCAATGATCCTGAACTGGGCATTGAACTGGGACCTGGCAGACACTTGGTTCAGTTCCCAGCTTTGTCACTGTTTCCTAAAGGATCTTCGGCAATTCACTTGAGGGCCAGATTCTACTATTCTGCCACTATAATTTCTTCACCGCAT